GTATTGTGTACTGTCTTACCCTTCACCAAAGTTACCACTTATCTATTGCTTATTTAGTTACCCCCCCCACCCCTCCCATCCCTCGTAACCAACAAAGATTGTTTCATTTTGTGTGTAAACTTTTACATGAGTTTTCACAGTAGAGGTCTCATACAATATTTGTGCTTTTGTGATTGACTTATTTCACCCAGCAAAATGTCCTCCAGTTTCATCCATGTTATGAGATGCTTCACATTCATCGTTGCTCTTTATCGTTGCATAATACTCCATTGTGTGTATGTACCATAGTTCGTTTATCCATTCATCTGTTGATGGGCATCTAGGTTGTTTCCATCTTTTTGCTATTGTGAACAATGCTGTAATGAATATGGGTGTGCATATGTCTACTCATGTGATGGCTCTTATTTATGAAAACTTTTTAATTTAAAAACTTTTATTTTTACTTTATTTCAAAAGTACCATGCATTCTTTATAGAAAAATTAGAAAACACATTTAGGCAAATACAGAAAAGATCACCTCAATCCCACAACCCAAATCTAGTCCACAACCCAGAAAGCCAGTCTCCCAGAGTTTTTCTCTATATATTCATTAGTCAGTCCACATAAGTATCTTAAATCAGGGCCCATATTCCTCTAACAAGATGTTACAACTGTCTTTCCTTGCTAATAAACCCACATTCCTGCCATAATTCTATGACTATATACTATTTCATCGTGTGGTTGTACCACTCCTTATTTGAGTTCTGGATCTAAAGGTAGTGTAGTGAGAGTGGAGGGGAGGAGGAGGAGAAAGGCACAGAGGGGATGCCACCCAGAGTTCAGGGGGCTGGTTGCTTGCCTGGGTACTCAGTTCCCAGCTCACAGCTAGGGTTAGGTCTACATGACCTTGACCAAACTGATGCCTTGGCATTTCCTTGGACAGGAAAAAGGCTGTCCCCTGGGCCAGCAATTTTCAAACGTGTTCTGTACAGATGCCAGTGTAGAGAACTGGCAGTGGTGGAACCAGGCTGGACGAAGTGTGTGTGTGGTGGAGGTGGGGGAACAATGAGGAGGGCAGAGCACCCCTTCCCCCAGCTCCACCATCAGGGCAGCACTGAGCCCAACCATCCTGGGCAGAGTCCAGTGTGAGAAGCAGCTCTAGTCTACAACTCTTGTTCTCCCTTCATGTGGGCTGTGAAGCCCATCTAGCTCAGGGCTATGCCCTCCCTCTCTGAGCGCAGCACAAATAAGAAACTGAATTGCATTAGTATTAAGTGAACAGCCCCACAGAGCAACATGGGTGATGTCAGTGGTTTCCACTGGCCTGGACAAGGCAGGACAAAGAAAGGATCTCATGGAAACAAGCCCTCAAGAGCCCTCCAGGCCTTGGAGAGCTCTGCAATGCTAATTGTTTAGTGTCTGCCAAATTAAAAGCAGAGGCGTGACAGTGGCAGCCCCAGCCTGGCCAGTGCCCACAGCCACAAGGACCAACCAGCAGGCCACACTAGGGGCATCTGGGGCCCTCAAATGAAGGCCTCAGGGGGCAGCCTGGCTCCTCTGGCTACAACCTCAGTTCTCCCAGAGGGTCTCAGAGTCCCTGCCAGCCTCAGAAAGTTCTATGACTTTGGGGAGCTGCCCAGGTATGGTAAGGACATTAACTGTCTTTTGGCAATAGGTCCTCCAGTGTGACATGACACAGGGCTTATTTAGGAGGAATGGTTCTGGGAATCATGATCTGGAGGGACACATCCCAGGCTAGAGTCGACACCATCTTCTGTGGGACAGAATGACTTCTGTCCTAGTGGACAGGGCCGTACCTGGGGGCCCAGAACCCTGGGGCTAAGCATGGGGCATGGAGGCCAACAGGCCTGAGTTTCTATCCTGCCTCCCCCTTTTCCAGCTGGGTGACTCCTCCCTCCAGGGACGAACGTATTGACTCCTCCATGCTCAGCGAACCACAGTCCCCATAGAGGAGAAAGAATGGACACCCATGAGAGGAATAATCCTCTCCCACTGGAGCGGGCTGCTCCTGCAGGATGGGGGCCACACTCAACTTTGTTTCTAGAGTCCCTCCATCTATCCAAACAGAAGGAGGTGGTCCTCAGGGACCATGCCCCATTTGCCAGCACAGCCCCTCTGGCCCAGTGTTGGCTACTCCCTGAGGCACCTGGGAGAGAAGCCAGGTCTGGAGGGTAACTGGTAGAACCAGGAGACCCGAGTGGTGACAACTGGTGTGTGCTCTCATTGCAGGGAACAGCAGCCGCTACCAGGCCGAACTCTGTCAGAAGCACAGGCAGGACCTGCCCCCCAGTAAATGCCACAGTACCAGCCAGGACTCCCAGAAGGAGACCAGCAGCATGTGGGGCCTGATGGTGGTTGCCCAGCTGCTGGCTGGCATTGGGACGGTGCCCATTCAGCCGTTTGGGATCTCCTATGTGGACGACTTTGCAGAGCCCAACAACTCACCCCTGTACATCTGTGAGTCGTGCACTTGAGGAGGGCTTCGAGGGGTGGGGGGAGGTCAGGTTCTGACATGCTACTTGCTGAGCCCCCTGGAGAGCAGAATCCAGGTCTGACCCTCTTTTCCCCATGACTGAGCAAATGAGTGCAGAGGTTTGAGGGTCAGACCTGGGCTTGGATGCTAGTCTTATTTCCTACCAGCTATATGTTCCTGTGGCTGAACCCCAGGTCCCTTGCCCACACAATGGGATTAGTATTATTTGTTGCACTGGGTGCCTGTGAGATTACATGAGATAATGTGTGCAGCTGCTTAGCCCCGTGCTGGCCACAGGGTAAGTCCTCATCCAAACAACTACTGCTGCTTTCCAGTCCTCCAGACATAGACCGGGCCACACGCGTCCTCAGGGACAGGCTTGGCCTCAAAAAAACATGTGCAAAACAGATTGCGGATGACCATTTGAATGCCCAAAACTTTTCCCGTAGAACAAGGAACATTCAGCATCCTCAGGGCCCACACCCCTGACCAGACAAACCAGCCCACAGGCTCAGTGGCCCCACAAGCTCCTGCCTGGGCCACCAGCATTGTACCCACAGGGAGCTTCACGCATCAGCACACCCCTGGGCTGACAGCTTTAAAATGCCATAAGGCTGTTTCCTTCTTAGAGATGCCACAGCTGTGGACTTGTGAGGGCCAGGGGACAGATGGGGAGACATCTCAGGAATCCCCCTCAGCTTGGGAGCCTGAGGCTGCCAAATCCTCTCAAGCCCCTCAGCCTCCTCTCCCCTGCTCCATTTCCAGCCATCCTGTTTGCCATCTCTGTATTTGGACCGGCTTTCGGGTACCTGCTGGGCTCTGTCATGCTGCAGATCTTTGTGGACTACGGCAGGGTGGACACAGGTGAGTGCCTGGGGAGGACACCCACTTCCATCACCATTCCACAAAGCAGGCCTTACTGTCCAGTCAGGGCAGAAAATGAGGCAACTTTTTGGGTGGCTTCCACTCCAAATGCTCATTGCCACCTCACTCGCCCACTCACTCACTCACTCACTTGCTCACTAGCTCTGGCAGTCCCTCAGGCAGCCAGGCACAGGCAGTGTGCACCTCCCCTCCCCTGGCCTGTGCTGGACGATGTGGGAAATGCAGTGCTGAAGAAAGTTTTATGTGAGGGGGGCCTTGAGACCCAGGGCAGGGCCTCTGGTGGTGTCCCCACAGGTGCCCATCATAGAATTTTTTTTAAACAAATTATACGGTTCTGTGAGTCTAAGATGCTGTTGATTTGTTTTTAAAAAAAAATTAAGAGCTTTTTTTGGGGAAAAAAAAGACATTATATAAACTGTGCACCTTCTTTCTCTTTCTATACAATTTCTTTACATGGAGAAACACTAAGGCAGACTTTGAGATGTGGGCATAGAGAACTGCCAGGAGGAGGCCAACCTTTCAGAGGTCACGCTGTGTACGGCTGTTTGCTCAGGCCCCAGAGGATTATGGGGGCCTCCTTTTTTAGGGGTTAATACAGTTGGGAGGCATGAGGGTTCAGTGGTTAAGAGTGCAGATTTGGGCACTAGAAAGATCTAGGTTTGAAACTGACCATGAAATGGCACTTACTAGCCTTAACCTTGAACACGAGACTTACCCTCTCTGATCCTCAGTTTTCTGATTGGTTAGAGGTGGACAGACTTGCTAGGAGAACCCAGTGGGCTAACACATGTAAAGCACGTGGTCTAGTGTCTGGCCCATGGGAAGTCAGCTGCCTTCATCAGTATTCTGCCAAGAGTTAGGAATAGAACAAGGTGAGGTGAAAGTTGTGGTCTCTTCAGCCTGAGGATTTTTTTTACTTTCTTCGTGTAGTGCATGGCCTTGGCTCTCTGGGAAGACCAGAACACCCTGGATCTTGCCCAAGGTTCTATCTAGTTCATGACTTACCTATTATCCATCATAGGCAGAAAGCCACTGAAACGCCCCCTAATCAAAGGATCTCTTTCCAGTAAACTGTGATCATGCATTCATTCAACAAACACCCATGTTCTTTGGTTTCTCTTCAGCCACAGTTAACTTGAGCCCTGGAGACCCCCGATGGATTGGAGCCTGGTGGCTGGGCCTGCTCATTTCCTCAGCCTCATTGTTTGTCATCTCTTTCCCCTTTTTTTTCTTTCCTCGAACAATGTCCAGAGGAGTAGAGGTAAGATTCTCAGAGTCTGTGACTCCACCTATAGGAGTTTAAGAAAGGGAAGGGGGGAGTGGGGGTGTAGAATATAAACAAAGCTAAGAAGCTGCAGCAGCTTAGGCCAATTCTGTGTGAAATCCAAACAAGTTTCATGGATGTGGGACTTCTCAGAGGCTTTGAGAGGTTAGGGTGCTGGTAGATTCCCAAAATGTGGTATCTCATCAGTGTTCCCTTACCATGTTAACATCTCAAGGATCAGGAGGTTCCAGGGAACCACTGAGTTCATCTAAATTGGGCTAAAGAGTTAAGAGCCAGTAAAAGTTAAATCCATGACCTGGTGCGGTTGACTTTTGCATTTAACAGAGCCCATTGATGTCTGAACCTGAAGGGCTGAATAAGAAAGAGATTCCTAGCACTGAAAATTGTGAGGGGTGAGGTGGGAGTGGAACATATTGTGAGCAGGGTGACCTGCTTCTTGCGGTCATATCTGTTGGGGGAAAGAAATCAGGAAAGGATGAGAAGTTGGGATGGGAAGACTCAGTCCTAGGTTGAAGGGTCTAAAACTTGCTCTAATCCGCTGAAGTCCTGGGACGCTGCAGTTGCTGGACAGCCACTTGCCTGGCAACATGGTGGCTAGGTTGAGGTTGGGGGTCAGGAAGGAATGAAGGCTGGAAATCTGAAAAGCCCAGTGTAGAGGCCCAGGGGAGAGATGGCGGATGCAGCTGAGGACCAGGGAAATGGCTGTCAAGGAGCTGAGGTCAGGGCAAAGATAAACATTTTTAGAAAGAGTGCCAAGAAGGACACAGCAGTGAGCTAGATTTGGAGACCAAAACCAAAAAACAGTTGCTGTCTAGTCGATTCTGACTCATAACCACCCCATGTGTCGTGGAGTAGAACTGCTCCATAGAATTTTCGAGGCTGTGACCTTTTGGAAGCAGATTGCCAGGCCTTTCTTCTGAGGCAGTTCTGGGTGGGTTTGAAACACCATCCTTTCAGTTAGCAGTCTAGCACTTAACCGTTTGTGCCTGTGCCAAGGGTTTGAGTCAGGGATTGAGCTCGACATTTGATAATGAGGTGTATGAAATGAAGGCCCAGCTATGGGAGGAGGGGCAGAGGTAAGATTTTCAGAAGTTGGCAGCACATCTTGGTGGTTTGGGGTCAGGCAGTCTTGGTGTTGAATCCAGCTCTGTACTTATAGACTAGCTGAGAGATTTAGGCAAGTTTCTTTGTTCCTCACTTTTGTTTTCTTTAAAATACTAGAGATAATTAGAGTAACTAACTTGGAAGCAGGTTGGGAGGAATGAGACAATGCATGTGGACCACTAGGCACAGCACCCAGCATGCAGTAAGCCCTCAAAAGAGGGAGCTCCTGTTCCTAGCAATGAGTTCTCCTAGAGGGTCCAAACAGCATCAGAGCTCAGGGGTCTTGTATTTGTGCTGGAGGCTCAGAGCTGGGGGGCTCAGGCTGGAGTGGATGTGTCCACCAGAGGTAGGCATGTTCACTGAGGTAGATACACAGGAAGTGCAGACAAAGGGCCAGTACAGAGCCTTGAGCAGGACGCAACCTTGAGCCAGGAGGAAGCAGGGACCCCACAGAGGAGACGGAAAGGGAGAACTAGAAATAGAGGATATTCTAGACCAGAGTGTCCCAGAAGCCAGCAGCTCCTGGAATCTGGGGAGGAGGGAGAAGTATAGTCATGACAGACAGACAAGGGGTGGGATCCAGTAATGTACATTTTGGCATTAGTCCTGGGCAAATTAGATATGAAATAATAGGCCCATGGGAATCTTGAGAGACATTGGCATGGATGCATGCTGGTCGTCAGCCAAAGCACTGGGCTCACTGAAATGCAGGCAGTGTTTGCTTCAAGAGAACATCCTCCGGATGCCCTCCCACATGCACACCTGGGCAGCTCACCGCTGTCCAGCCCACAACCACAAAGACGAGAAAGGTCAAGCGCCCAGGGAAGGGTAACTGCCGGAGCTGAGGCCATTGACACTCACTCCCTTTTCTGCCTTCAGAGGTCTGATTCCATGGCGGATGAGACAAGGAAGATGGAAGAGGTCAAGTCAGGAGACTCCCTGGTGGATTTCATTAAACGTAACTGACCCAGTAGCCCTGGGTGGGCTGGCTCAACATGGGGCAGTGGTCAGGGGGTACCCCAACCCATGTGGTGGGGTGTAGTAAGAGGCAGTAAAAGCAGATGGTCTGTAATTGGACCCTAACCCTCAGGTGTTCCTGCAGCTCAGGAGGGGTTCTGCCAGGGGTCCTGGTGACTCTGCTTCTTTGCAGGTACCAAACCAAAAAACCAAACCTGTTGCCGTCGAGTCAATTCCAATTCATAGTGACCCTACAGGACAGAGTAGAACTGCCCCATAGGGTTTCCAAGGAGTGCCTGGTGGATTCAAACTGCCAACCCTTTGGTTAGCAGCGAGCTCTTAACCACTGTGCCACCAGGGCTCCTTGCAGGTATCAGGAGACTCAAATTCAAGCCCACACCACCAGGCAGAGTCAGCCCCACCTCCCAACCCCTGGATGGGCCCCTATATTCCTCTCCCTCCTTCATGTAGAGATAGCTGTTATGTTAGGAGACCATTCTAGTTATTAAGTCATATTTCGATCTACCTGCCACCTGATTTCTTTTAGTCACATTCTAATCTTATTTAGCCCATGAGCATGTTGAGTGTGAGTCTAAGTCGCTCTGTGCTGCTGAGGTGGCCACTGAACATTTTGATGCCTCAGTTTCTCCCCTGAGGAAGAGAAGAGAATATCTTGGAGTGGGGAGAAGGGCAGCAGCCAGTCTTACAGTACTCTCATGACGGTCTGCCCTGAAGGCCTGGCCCCTGACGGCAGTCTCTTTGCAGGGTTCCCCCGCATCTTCCTAAGGCTCCTGATGAACCCGCTTTTCATTCTGGTGGTCCTGGCCCAGTGCACCTTTTCCTCTGTCATTGCCGGTCTCTCCACATTCCTCAACAAGTTCCTGGAGAAGCAGTATGGCGCCTCCGCTGCTTATGCCAACTTCCTCATCGGTGAGCTGGGAGGGTGCAGCAGGAGCCGGGTGGCTCTGCCTAAGCGAAGGACTGGGCACTCCGATCACCCCTGGGGGCTGGCGGGAAGGGGTATGGAGTCCAGACCGGACACAGACAGGAGTGGAAGGAGGACTTGCCCAGGAGAAAGAATTTTAAGAACATTTTTCCTGGTTGGCAATCTAGAATGCTCTTGGCAGGTTTCTGGAGCCCCTGTCTTTCCAGTCAGGAGGTTGTCTCAGAGTTTCCTCTTCCTACGTGGGCGGAGGCTAAGGGCTGCTTTCCTCCCTGTCAGAGGGGCTAGAAGTCTGGCAGCCTCCCAAAGGCCCTGACATCATAAGAACAACAGAGGAAAGGGGGAAGATGGAATTTGGGGTTGGGCAAATGCCTTCTTCTCCGGGCACTTGGATACATTTGCTCAGGTAAGAGAATATGTGGCCCAATAATTCTCAACCCTGCCCATACTTTATGCTCCCCTAAACCAAAAAACAACAACAACAAAAAAAAAAACCTGTTGCCATCAAATAGATTCCAACTTATGGTGATCCCTTGTGTGTCAGAGCAGAACAGTGCTCTATAAGGTTTCAATGGCTGTGATCTTTCAGAAGTAGATTGCCAGACGCCTTCTAAGGCACCTGTGAGTGGGTTCAAACTGCCACCTTTCGATTAGTAGCTGAGAGCTTATCTATTTGCACCACCCAGGGACTTAGGCTCCCCTACAGAGCTTTAAAAAATACAGATGCCTAGGCCCCACCCTAGATTAACGAAACCAGAATCTCTGCAAGTGGGGCCCAGCATCACTGTTTTTACAGCTGGGATTGAGAACCACTAATGTGGTCCCACTAAGCACCCAAGTGTGGAGACCCAGTCCCCGGTGAGCTTGACCATATGGGTGTGGTCACATTCCATAGGCCTCCGCAGGAAGGTCAGGCTCAGTTCTCAGCTGCTGAGTCCCACCAGCCAGCTGGTGAAATTACTCTGGGGTCATTTCTAAGCAAGCCCCTACAGACAGCACCTGTGATTCAAATACTCAGTGAAACAACGGTATTCACCATGGGCTTCAATCAACCTCCCCAAGATCCAGAAGTGGGGGCCCACCCTGAGGCTTGTCAGTTCCCCACCAGAGTGGCCCCTCCAGTGTGAGGAGGCAGGAGGAGCAGTGATGGATATGCCCTGCCAGACCCATCCCATGCCCAGAGCCTGGGGACAGTCACAGGGCAGCTCTGAGACCTGCTGTCCATCAACCCTTGAGTGGATGGAGTCCTGCCTGTTGGCTCCCCCAATAGCCATGCACAGAATCTTCTTTACTTTGGACTCTGGGTTCCTATACCCACTACTCCCCCAACTCCATTCAGCCCCAACAAGGCCACCTACCATTCCTCCTTCCCTCTTGCCCACAAAATCTGTTGGTGCTCTAGTGGCTGGGAGGAGATCTAAGGGAAAAATATGTGCCTCCTGTCTTCAGGGAGATGGCCTTCATTTAACCAATACGTTCTGAAGTCCTGCTACGTCCCAGATGGAGTCCCTGGGTGGTGCAAAGAGTTGACACACTCGGCTGCTAACCAAAAGGTTGGAAGTTCGAGTCCATCCAGAGGCGCCTCAGGAGAAAGTCCTGGCGATCTATTTCCAAAAAAATCAGCCATTGAAAACCCTGTGGAGCACAGTTCTACTCTGACATACATGAGATCACCATGAGTCGGAGTTGACTTAAGGCAACTGGTTCTGGCATGTTCCAGGTACTGTTTCTAATCTAATGAGGGAGGTGGGCACACTTAAATTATGTGCTAATCTTCTCAAACAGTACCATTTGTTTTAAAATGGACTTTTTTTTTTTTTTGACTTTTAAAAATACAGGCTGGTGTGAGAAATTTAAATGATAACAATAGTCTAAAAACCAGGAACTGAAAGTTCCCTCAACATGCCCCTAGACACAGCCATGGTTAAGGGTTAAGTGTGAACTCTCCTATAGTTTTCCTGTGCACTTACTAATTTATGTAACACATATTACGTTTACAAAATGGAGAAAACACTATTTGTGGGTTTGTTTGTGGGCTCCGTGGTCTGTGGAGCGAGTGTCTCCCTGGTGCCCTCAGCCTCTGCCCCACTCCCTGGGAGCAGCTTGAGGACATCTAACCCCTAGCCCAGCAACACGGCCTGGCTGCATTCACCCCCCGATGTTCTACCCCTTTGGCGTGAATCACACTTCCGAGCTCTGCAACCCACTGGCCCAAGGAGTTCATGGGAGCTTGCCCAAGCCCTCGACCAGGCAGGCCTGGGCCATATCCTCTGTCAGCTGAGTTAGGTTTCTGAGCCACAGGCCTGCCCCTCCCTTAGTACTGAGCCAGTAAGTACAGCAAGTCTCCGAGCCAGACGATCCTAGGAACGGTGTCTTGAAAGGGAGCAAGGCTCCCTTTTTGTCTTTCCTGTCCTTCCAGGGAGAACCCTTCTGTCTCCTGACAGGCTCAGAGACCTCCCTTCTGCAGAGAACAGGCCATGAGATCAGATTCCCCGGCTCCTCAAGAGCATGAGCATTCTGCCCGCCTCTGGCACAAAAGCCCACCTGGGCAGTGCACGGGGCCAGGGCATGAGATCCAAGATGACTCCCCTGCATTCCTGACCTCCCACGTGGCCCTCGGCTACACTTCACCCCTCTGGCCTTCAGTCTCTGACTGACACGTTGGAGGTCATCACCCTTACCTTGCTAACCCTATGTGGTCAGTGAGGATGCAATGGGGGGCCAGGCAATGAAAGGTGCTTAATAAATGTGCATTCAACTCATAGTCTTCTGGCTCCATTTCTTCTTTCTGTGTTCTTTGCACAGACAGGGCAATTCTCCGTGTCAAGATAATTCTGTTATGTGAATTTAGAACAGTGCCTGGCAAATAGTATGCACTCAGTAAGTTTTGGCTATAGCTATTATAGGGTCGCTATGAGTTGAAATTCGACTCAACAGCAATGGTCTTGCGATTATTATTTGACATATCAAATGTTTCTTCCTGAAGTCGTGCCCACTTTCCATGGTCCAGCTTGGTGTCTGTGGGCCACACACACTCCCAGGCCTGGGCCCTGAGACCCACTCTTTCTCTCCTCCCCCAGGTGCTGTGAACCTTCCTGCTGCAGCCTTGGGAATGCTGTTTGGAGGCATCCTCATGAAGCGTTTTGTTTTCTCCCTGCAAACCATCCCCCGTGTGGCCGCCACCATCATCTTCATCTCCATTATCCTCTCTACCCCTCTCTTCTTCATGGGATGCTCCACCCCGACTGTGGCAGAGGTCTACCCCCCCAGGTAATAGGAGTGAAGGGTGCAGACATACCTGTCACTGAGGCCAGAGTCTGGATCTGGCTGCCGCATGTCGTCCTTCCTGCTTCCTTAACTCTTTTCTCTCCTTTTCACTCTTTGAAGTAATCTCTCAAGTAGCAGTTTAGAAAATCAAATCCCAAATAGTCACTCAATTATGAGAAGAGATCAGAGGGTCCTAGTGGACCATGAGCAATCAGGGTTAGATTCTTGTTTTTTGAGAAACACCAAAAACTGATTAGTGCAGTTTCAGGATGAATCTGTTGGGCTGTGAGCCACAGGAACTAGGAAGTAAGTTATGTTTAGCATCAGCTCTGTCCTGGCTAGAATTACAAAGTCTCATTGAGCTGCTGAAGACAGATGAGAGGAGGCTTGAAAAGATCTGGAGGAGAACAATGAAAATGATGGCAGACTTGAAAAATTAGGGCAGGTGAGGAAAACGGCAGGTAAAGTTCATCTGTCGGCTTGCACAAAGCAACGTGGAACTTAAGTTTTAAGTCTGGCTTCAAGCTCAGGAAGGGCTTTAGAGGTCTATGGGGGAAGGATGCTGAGCAAGGAACATTTTCATTTTTCCCAGGTGCCACCTTTCAACAATCTTTTCTTTTATATTTTGCCTAATGAAGTTGCAACATTTGGAGACAGTGCACCTTTCAGTCTTGGAGTTTTCTTTTTCTTTGAAATAACCTCTACCTTTGGTGGGCGAGGCACAGAGGGGCCAAAGAAGGGAGGATCACTAAGGATGGGGACCTCACCATGGTGTGTATTGGTCCTCTCAGGCTGACTATGGATTGGGAGAAGCTGTGAAACCTTCAGGGGTTGGATGGCTTTCACTGTGAGTTTAGCACAGGGCTTCGAAATCAGCAGGCCTGGATTCTAGTCCCGGCACTGCTCTTTACTAGCTAGGGGAAGTTACTTCACTTATCTAAGCTTCAGTTTTCTCATCCACAAAATGAGGATAATTAATTATAAAGTTATTGTGATGACTGTGCATAAAAAGCCCTCAGCACAGAACCTGGCACATAGGAGATGCCCCATAAATGTTAACTATCATTAGTATGTAGCCACAACAATGCACTCAAACATACCAACAATCATGAAGATGGCGCAGGACCAGGCAACGTTTTGTTCTGTTATATATAAGTCACCATGAGTTGGAGCCAACTCAATATCAACTAACAACAACACTGATATAATTATTTTAGCAAAGCTCTGGACTGCACTTTGTCCCTCCCTATCCCAACTCTCCCCAAAGAATATCATGAGTATCAGAGATGGGGGTGGTGGGAAACATGCGATTAGCCAGTGAAATCCTCTTGGTTGAAGCTCAGGGGCATTGAGTGACCTGGGCAATGTGTACATAGACCCAAGAGACAGGCAGCCAACTAGACCCCAGACTGCCTCAAGGCGTCCCGGCCTCTCCCCCAAGCCTGAGTACAGGTGGAAGAGAAAAGAAATATTGCCTATGACTTTCCTGTCCCATCTGCCATTTCTCTCATTAGAGTCCTCGTTGGTTGGTGGTCTTGACCCCTGCTGTTGTAAGGGATTTGCCAGCCAAGCTTTCTGAATAGTTGTTGGATTTGGTCTGGGAAGCAGATGGGTGGGGCTCCAAGTGGTGGAAGAAATGGAGAGGTGTTGTGACCGCCAGCCAGTGACAAATTCACCGTTGGCTCTAATAGGCATAATTCAGATCCCAGGGTGGCACTAGCCCAAAACAAACAAAGACACACAGGCACGTTAACCAGTCCTAGAGCTCACACTGGGTTGGAGTATAGAGTTTTTTTTGGTCTTGCTTTGTTTGATTCCCCGTTTCCTGTTTTGCTGGCAGCACATCAAGTTCTATACATCCACAGCCTCCTGCCTGCCGCAGGGACTGCTCGTGCCCAGATTCCATCTTCCACCCTGTCTGCGGAGATGACGGAATCGAGTACCTCTCCCCTTGCCATGCCGGCTGCAGCCACATTAACAGCAGTTCTACAGCCTCCAAACAAATGGTGAGGGCAGCTGGGGTCCCGGCGGGCAGGAGGAGGCTAGAGGGCCTCCGAGCTCAGTGTTTGCCCTCGCAGACTGCCCCTTGGCTCCAGCATGGGCAGGGCTCCACTCTCTTTCATTACCAGCATCCTGGCCTCCTCTGGGCCACACCCTCCATTCTCGCATCCCCTCCGTTAGGGTCATGACCAGATGCCTACAGCCCAAAGGCTCTTAAAGACTGGCCACTATCCAACAAATTCAAATGCTTGAGGCCTAACAATGCTCACAGCAGACAATCCAAAGCACTCCTTCAGCCAAAGCCTTCGAGCCTCATCCTGACAGATCCTAGCAGACATCTCTGGGTCCTGAGTCCTGGCCATGTTGCAAAGCCAAGTGGGCTGGCCTAGATCAGTCAAGGATATAGGGCCTCTGTGGTGTGGACTTCAAGGTTAGAGCTGGGAGCCAGAGTAGAGGTCATTTGGTTCAGCTGGCCTGAAGTCAGTCTGTTTAGTGTAGACCTGGGACTAGCACCCAGAGCCCCATCTCACCCATCTGAGTGCCGCGCTCTTCTCTTCAAGGCTGGGTATCTCCTGGCCATCGGCCCTTCACTCATGCAGCTCAGCTTCACTGCCGCTCACTTGATGAGGTCCTCTCCATTCCTGCTGTGAATGCTGTGGCTCCCACTTTCTAAAGTCAGCCAGCAACAAGCCAACTGGGGTTGTTTTCTCAGTGACTGAACAGATACTTAGTGAACATCAGGCACAGCCACAGGTGCTGAGGACACGGCAGTGAACACATCAGACAAGGAGTTTGCGTTCTATCAAATAGAATGGGCAATAAATGCCACAGAAAGACTTAATGGGGCCAAGGGTGTCTGGGGGCCTTCTTGAGATTATTGGGCAGGGAAGTCCTCTGTGGAGAGGCAACATTAGAATTGAACAATCAGAAGAAGAAACTCTTATGAGAACCTGGGGGTGAAGCATTCCAGGTAAAGAGAACAGCAAGTGCAAGACCCCAGGGCATGAATGAGCTGAGTATGCCCCAGAAGAAAAGAGAGACGGCCAGGGTTGATGCTGAGTGGGGAGGAGCATCAGGGAGGCAGCTGGGTCTGGGAGGCAGGCAGGGGACAGAGTTAGGTAGGCCAGGCTTAGGAGCTGGATGTTATTTTTCCTAAGAGCAGTGGGAAGTCTATGGGGTCACTGTGGGTTGGAATCAACTCTGCAATGGGTTTGGTTTTGGTTTAAGGATGCCCTAAGGAAGGTAATGCACCTCATTCCCTTAAGCCTGTGTGGAGAGCATATGCAAGGCTAGCCCTTATTTACCACCCTCCTCTGAGAGGACAGGGCAGGGCTGCTTCCACAGCCACCTCTGGGGGCAAAGGAGCTTGGCTCCCAGGCAGAGGGGGAACAAGGAGCTAGGACAAGATGCTTTCTTGGTTGCCTTCCAGTTGGAGGAGCCTGAAGTGGCTTCTGTGGTTTTCTTATCTTTATTTACTTACCTCTGACTCATCTACTCCCAGAAATAATCTTGACAAGCTTCCAGTAATAGCATAAGCACATCAAGACCAAAATCCATTAGCATAGTATCAAGAAAAAAAAAATGAAGTGTAAGGAAAAATAATCTGTATTATAAAAATCCAGACTGAGGGAAGTTCAGCCATATTGTCCATAAGCTATTTTTGAGCTTCCTAACTGCCAAGGGAAAGAGGGTGCATAGTTCTCATCAACTCATCACCTGGTAGAAGGAAGCATAACCAAAACCAAACCCACTGCTTGCTGTTGGGTCGATTCCAGTTCATTAGCTCCAGTCCTGACCCCATAAATGCTATGACACTGCAATGATCATAGGCTGGGCCATTGGGCACTGCAAGAGGGAGAGTGAGGACCACCAGGCATAGGCAGTGGCCACCAAGGGGAGTTGCACAGCAGTGTTGACCCATATGGACTTGCTGATTTGCGAGTGAGATCTCCTTCCCTGGAGCCCTTTATACACAGGAGGAATTCTTCTCAGGCAAAGACCTGACAGATTCAGAGCTCAGTGGACTGCATTGTGTTCCCACTGTTGTTCTCCTTCTATTTATACCTTCCCCTGCAATAAACACATGAACAGCATCCACAAACCCAGTGCTGCTGAGTACGGGGTGGCTTGGCTCAGAGGAGAGCCCTGAGCCATGCTCGGAAGTGGGTGTAACTGCCGGAGGACACCAGCCCAAGCTGGGATGTCTAGTTTTGGTGAAGATGGTTCTATATGATCAGAGGCAGGACCTATGGGGCACCTTGAAACTCTCACCTTGTCTCCTATCCTGCCTCAGCATCCAGCATCACCCAGATCTGGGTGCTGAGGGCAGAGGGTTTGAAACCTGAGGGACTGTCTAGCAAGAACTGGTGCAGACATGTGAAGTGTGCAGAAGTGAAATACTAACAGCAGATTTTCTCTTTATTCCTCCCTCTTCTCTTCAAGATCTATTTGAACTGCAGCTGTGTGACTGGGGAGTCCCGTTCCACAAAGACGGGGTCGTGCCCTATCTCCTGTGCCCACTTCCTGCTCCCGGCCACCTTCCTCATCTCCTTTGTGGCCCTGATAGCCTGCACCTCCCACAACCCCCTCTACATGATGGTTCTGCGGTGAGTGGCACCTCTCAGCCAGGCTGGGCTACTCCTTCCCCGTGCTTTGTGGGGGTATACACCCTTGACTGTGCACTCAGCTACCTGTTTCTCATCTCTTCTCCCTTTGCTGGCCCTCAGAGTCCTTTGAACAGCAATGCGTAGGATTCTCTCAGTGATGCGGGAAGATAACGCTAGTGGTATCAGTGGCGGAGGAGCCCTCCCCTGTACCAGGCTCTGCACTGAGCACCTCACTGCAACCCTCATCAGTCCTCACGGCATCTGCCTGACGTCAGCCCTGTCAGCACCTCCATTCTGCACATGGGGGGTTAACTCCCCACCCACGCTCACAGAGCCACAATGGCAGAGCCACGTGTTGAAGCCAGGCCACCTGGCTCCACCCTTTAGAAATGCTTATAGAGTCGCTTATTCTTAAATTCTGAAAGAACTGAGGGAAGGGAGGAGAATTCAGCTGGATGCAAAAAGGCAAGGAAGGAAAGTGAGGAAAGTTCCAGAGACAGAGTGGGCATGGAAATGAGTAGAGCCCAGTATGCTTAGAACCAGGACTGAGCGCTCTGGTCAGGCAGGGAGAGGCTGGCCACAGCTGGAGGGAAAGGTATTCCATCACAGCCAGCAGTGAAGGGCCTCTGAGGTTTACACAGGGAGTGACCTTCCCTTCACCTCACCCTCTGCAACCAAGGTCACCTGGCCCATCTCCTGCCTGCTTCACCACCTTCCCTCTTGTCCTCACCCCCCTCACCGCAGACAGGGAAACATAGGATTTGGATCTGGGTGCCAGGGTCAAAGCCCCAGCTCTGCCACACACAGGCTGAATGTCCTTGGTTGTTGCCCAACCATGAGCCTCAGTTTCCTCATTTATGAAATAGAGATAATGACATCCACCTCAAAAGGTTAGATGGTAATTCACTTTGTAAATATAGATGCTCTATATATTGGTTAATTATCACTATTAATCAAATAATAGTACTAATTGTTATTAACAGGTAGCTAGGAGCTCATGACCTGTTTTCTCCAGAAGGTTAGGAGGTAAGGAAGGAGCAGAAGCGGGCATTTTCAGGGCCTGGGATTTTACCCTATTTATAAGCTACCCAGTTAGCCTGTTAGCATCCATGGGTGCTGGCAGGAGCGTAAGACTCCTGGGTCAAAGACAAAGGGCTTTACTCTCACTGCCCAGCAAGCAGCATGAAGATCATACTGCACTGATTACCCTTGCCCACAGGCCCCACGGGGGTGACACAAGGAGCTCAGGTATGTGCTTCACCCCGGGGGTTTGTGCTGCAGCTACTCTGCTTAGTGGAGCCACTGCTTTTAGCAAGCCTGCTCTTGGTCTAGGGGAAGAAGACATTACCTCGTCCCTTAAGGGAGCTCACTGCAACCTCAACCCTGAGAATAGAGCAGTCAGGACCTACCGTTCTTGGCATACCCAGCAAGAACATGCAGGGACGCTAAGGGCCATGCATATTGCCTCTCACTATTGCCAACCTCTTCTCCTCTATTCCTCCCCATTCTGTGCATTCCAAGTCCTGACGTTTTCACTCAAGTCACTTGGATGGGTTCCCTTCTTGCACCCTGGGTCAGATGGACCATGGTGGACACTAACCCTGAGATAGATCTAAGGGAGGCCATGACAAGGAAAGGGTACAGGGTAAGGAAATGTCATAGAGGAGTCCCTGAGAAGCTGGGGGTAGAGGGCAATCCCTGTCAAAACACCTCCCAGAGGGCTTTTGTCCAACTCCAGAGATGGAGAAGTCGTGGAGAACAGAGCATCATTTCAACCTCAGGGTGGGCAATTTGTGGCTCTTCTAGAAAATTCTGTCACTTCCAAGTCAGGTCAGGGGCTGGGATGAAACTGGAGAGTTTCAAGATGGTTTAAAGAGAAATCCTACTGGGAGAGATGAAAGAATGGATGTGATTTATGTGACAAAATGAGACTTGAAAATGAGGATGACATTGTAGGCCACCCAAGCATTACTGGTATCAGCCTTGGCCCCCAGCCAGGCATGGATTACAGACTGGGAGAAAAGGTCAGCTGGAGATGTACAAGGAGAGTGGTCAGGAAATCAGCATTCATTCAGGGCCTAATGGGGCAGAGACCAGGAAAGGGTCACAATCAGATGTTTAATCAGGGTGCCCAAGTTCCGTTTAGTTGAGAATTTAGGGGATTCTGCCTGTGTAAGGAAGTACAGATCCAAGACACCCAAAACAATCATCATCAAGTCAATTCCGACTCATAGCAACTCCATGTGTGTCAGCATAGAACTGTGCTCCATAGGGTTTTCAATGGCTGATTTTTTGGAAGTAGATTGTCAGGCCTCTCTTACGAGGACGCTCTGGGTAGACTCGAACCTCCAACCCTTTGGCTAGCAGCCAAGCATGTTAACTGTTTACTCCACCCAGGGATGCTATCCCAGACATGGGGGATGGGGGCCATCTATTATAGGTTGGGTGGTTAGAAGAATCTGTAGGTGTCAAAGGGACACCCATTGGAATTGGGTTTGAGGCATTTTCTAGTGGAGGGTACCCCAGTGGGTGCCTCTATCCACCCCCCACAACACCCTCATTAGTACTTCCCTCACTGGACCATACCTCAGAGGAGCTAGAAGAAGGTTTGTCCCCAGTGTGCTAGCAGAACTCAATGGGGCTGTGGATGTCTGGGGTTTGCTTCTGAGTTCCCTTTCTCACTGTCCCCTCCGCCCTGACAAGCACCCACCTGGAAGTGCGTGTGCTCAGAGCACAGAGAAGTCTGTAGTCAAGTCACTCATCTGAGGCTTCTCCAAGACCACAGGGTCCGCTGAGGCTGACCCAGGCTGAGGGCCAGACAGGGACTGGGCCAGGCCAGGGAGGGGCCCTTTCTCATGGGCCTACAGCTGGATACCTTTGCTGAGCTCTCTGGGCTGGGCCACTGCTGGCCAGCTCCCAGCTCCCCACCTTGTGGGGGGGGGGGGGTTCCGCCCTCTCTGCTGCGCTTCTCGGCTGGGATTGGGCAGGGCTTAGCAACATTGCCTCTCCCTCTTTCTGTCTCTCTCTGAGCCCCCTTTCTCAGTCAAATGCATTTCTCCTCTTCAAGGAGGAAGGATAGGAGCACGACTGGCTACATAGTTTGCAGAACCCATTGCAAAATGAAAATGTGGGGCCCCTTGTTCAAAAATGATGAAGAATTTCAAAACAGCAACAGCAGAGCATTAAGCCAAACACAGGGCCTTTCCGAGCATAGGGTCCTGTGGGACTGCATGCCGCACTCCCACGAAGCCCGCCCTGGGTAGGGGATTCTTCTAGTTGCATACAGAAGCCTCCAGCCCAGGAGCCCTAATTACACTTTGTGCCCAGGCTTTCTTTTACTACTATAAGCCACTCTGTGGGAGTTGTTCAGACCTGCTGCTATAAACACACCCTTCAGCCTCTTTCTCTTCATCCCAGCCTCTTCCTCCTGCCTTCTGCCTCCTCAGGGAGGTCCTAGACAGCCGTGAAAATCACATGGACCAGTGGGTCTCAGACTCAGCATGCATCAGAATCTCCTGAAGGGCTTGTTAAAATACAGATTGCTGGGCCCTGCCCTCAGAGTTTCTGATTCAGCAGCTCTGGATGGGGGCCTGAGAATGTGCATTTCTAACAAGCTTGCTGCTGCTGGTGGTGGTCCGGGGGTCATGCTCTGAGAACCACTGACATAGAAACGGGAGCACTCAGCCCAGGTGAATCCAGTCAGCCAAGTGCCCATCGGGTGTGTCAGGGAAAGTTCCGTCAGCTCCAGGCTGGCTGCCCCTGACTGAGAGGTGGCGCAGTCTGAACCCTCCCGCTGCTGATTTCCTGCTTTCCTTGGCAGTGTGGTGAACCAGGAAGAAAAGTCGTTTGCCATCGGCGTACAGTTCTTGTTGATGCGCCTGCTGGGTAAGTGTCTGCCACCCCCTTGCTTCACAAGAAGTTGCCCCAGGGCATTGGAGGACTATGGGGTGCAGAGCAGGGGTGGGGCCTCGTCTCATCTGTTATAAAGACAAGCTGTGCAGAATCAACAGCAGATGCCAAACACCCTATACGGGCAGTTTCCCTGAACGCTTGGGGTTAGGAAAGATTCCATCTATGGCATTAATTCCACACTAAATTATGTAAGAAAAATGAAAAGTGGATGCAGCTGAGAATACCTAATACAGAATCAAAGGCAGGTATATTTTTTTATCTTTCTCCAAAAACTTTGCCGTAGGAACGAAACCTTGCATTCCTGCCCCAGCCAGAACAGCAGCTGGGCCCAGCCCTGGCTTCCTTCCCCACTTTACAAAATTGACTTCTCCTATGACTTCTACTGCACTTCAGCAAATGTTTCCTATGTGCAGGCCCTCTGCCAGCAAACCTTGCCTGCCCTCAAGCAGCCCAGTGTCCAGCAGAGGAATCCATCTGTGCATATGATCAGTACTGCCCCACAGAGAAGGCTAACTGCTGGCGGCAGGAACACCCAGCTCTCCCCGGCTGCACAGGCCAGACACCCAGGGCAGGGAGCCGTGTAGTGGGCATTGCAGCATATTGCAGGTCCTTTTCCAGACTGCTCGTGTTATGCTGTCCTTTCTTGTCACATCCAGGCACTAGATTTAACACTAGGCACTCATATGGAGACCTAGGGATTTAATGAATTCAACTGAGGACATGATTTATTAAGTAAGGACCCAGTAAGTGCTCGCTGGAGTCCCTGGGTGGTGCAAACAGTTGATGTACTCGGCTGCTAACTGAAAGGTTGGAGGTTCGAGTCCACCCAGAGGTGCCTTGGAAGAAAGGCCTGACAATCTACCCATTGCCATCAAGTTGATTCTGACTCATATAGGACAGAGTAGAACTGCCTCATAGCGTTTTCAAGGCTGTAATCTTTACAGAAGCACGCTGCCACATCTTTCTCCCATGGAGTGGCTGGTGGGTTTGAACTTCTGACCTTTTGGTTAGCAGCTGAGCACTTAACCCCTGTGCCTGACAATCTACTTCTAAAAAAAATTAGCCAGTGAAAACCCTCTGGAGGACAGGGTTACTCTGATGCACCTGGGGTCACCATGAGTCAGAATCGAATTGACAACAACTGGTTTGAGTGTTCACTGCAGTGCAGAATATGAAATTACAGCAAAGCAACTTGAGTTACTGTCAAGTGTACTTTCTGACCTTAAACGCTGAAATCCCTGCAGAGCCCGTTGTCGTTATTGCCGGGGGAGCCAGGCCCACACCTCGCTCTGTGGTGGCTTCCACTGTCATTCCAGTGTGTGCTGGTGATGTCCCTCCTGGGACCAGCTGAGCAGGAGCCTTTGTAGGGCCCTCTCTGACCCCGGGTTGGGTGAAGTTTGGACTATGAGGAATGAATCAGCTTTTTCTGTGGGATTTCTTGGCCTCGAGCCATTTACTCCTCTCCTCCCGGTTGAGCCCCTTCAGACCCTGCTCTCTGGTCCTCGTTACAAACACAGAGGACACAGGGCAGTGGAATCTGCCCTGTCCTCGTGGCAGAGGTGCTTTGCCATCAAGCTCCTTGTTTGCCTTCATTTATAACTTTCTTTAAAACCTCCCCCTAAGAAAAAAACCTTGCATTCTTCACAGCCCAGCCAGCAGCTGGGATGGGCTAGGAAGAACCTGTCCTGCTTCTTCTAGTGACCTTGAAAACAATGGCCCTCCCCCACTGCTTCTGGCTTTTTCTTTGAGCTCAGCTAACTCAAGGTGGAACTATAGTTAGAAAACTTGGACCTGGAGGGATCATCACCCAGGAAGAGAATTCCACCCTGGGGTAGAAAAAAGGACTTTGTATTTATAAACTCAAGCAGGTTTTAAATTACTTATGAGGGTTTGGTTAAAAATTTTCTGGACTTTGTCTCTACTGAGGGACACACCATTCAAGGTCATTGGAGGTTAATCCTACTGGTCAGTTCCTGTCCCCACTCACCTGGAGACTTTGGAGTGAGCAGAGTAAAGCAGAGAGGCTGCTTTTCTGAGGGTTCCCACTCGTAGGTGGGGCCATGGCCTGAAGATTGTCTCCTGCAGTCCCAAAGCAGCATCTTACAAAGGCCCTAAGCAGAGGCTGGGAACAGGGACAGCCCAACCTGAGTTTGAATCCTAGACAAGTCCTTCCCCAGTGTAGTGACCACGCAGAGCTATACAACTGACAATACAGGGTAGGAGAGATTCAAAATATTTAACGGCTAGTAAGGTCGCTGGGGGAAACCCTGGTGGCGTAGTGGTTAAGAGCTACCGCTGCTAACCAAAAAGTTGGTAGTTCTAATCAACCAGGCGCTCCTTGGAAACCCTATGGGGCAGTTCTACTCTGTCCTGTAGGGTCACTATGAGTCAGAATCAACCCAATGGCAATGGGTTTTTGGTTTTAAGATCCCTGGGTGGTGCAAACAGTTTGCACTCAACAACAACTAACCTAAAGGTTGGCAGTTTGAACCCACTGAGCAGCACTTCAGAAGACAGGCCCAGCGATCTGCTTCCATAAAGACTGCAGTCAAGAAAACCCTATGGAACATTCTACTCTGTCACAGACGGGGTCGCCATGAGTCAGAATCTACTCAACTGCAACGAGTTTAGTTTGGCTTTAGTTTAAGGCATGCCACTGCTGAGCTGGGCCTTAAGTCTCAGCTGCTGGGAAGTTTGGGGGCCTGGGGCAGAGGCTCTGAGAAGACAGGGTGTTGAGGTCTCCTAGGGGTTATCTAAGCCAGTAAGCAGCTGGGTGTGGTAGAAGAACAAGGGATTTGAACCTGGGTATTCCAGGGTTCAAAGCCCGGCCCTGACCCCTCTTGGCCATGTTACAGTCAGCTGCTAAGTTCACCTTCCACCTTGATACAGACGAAGGCCCCCCTCCACTCCCCAGGCTGTGTGAGGAATTATGGAGAGCCCTCCAGAGCCTCCTCCACAGCGGAGCTCAGTTATACCTTCACTTAGGGCCAATCCCAAGAGTGGGAATTATGTTGTGTCTCTGAGTAGGTATCAAGGTGACCTCTGTGACTCATTCCATGCTGAGAGGGTGGCTCAGGTCCTTTTTCTCTCCTAAGCCTTCTGGTGAAAGAGAAATTCAGGCTTCACTGAAAGCTCGTTTGCTGTCCAAAGTCACTGTGACTCCCAGGGCAGGGCAGAGCTGGTCTCATGTGAGCCAACCGGTCAGGGGCGCTGGGGGGACCTAGGTGCCCCACTCCTACGGTGCCGCATGACCCGGGCTCTCTGACTCTCTCCCCTGCTGACGCCAGCCTGGCTGCCATCTCCAGCCCTGTACGGCCTCACCATCGACTATTCCTGCATCTGGTGGAGCTTGCAGTGCTCAGGGAGGCGAGGGGCCTGCGCCTACTACAACAACGATGCGCTCCGAGACAGGTGAGGGCCCAGAATGAACAAAGAGCAGTCAGCGGCCCCAGTGGCCATTCGGTGGCTATAAGCTTTCTGAAGGCGAGGACCCAAGGGGCCATCTCTGCGGGCTCTGCCATGGACAGGGGTAGGGGTCACCAGTGACAGGTGTTTCAGGGCCCACAGGGAGCCATCTGGATAACGAGACCCAGGGCCCCTTGGAACTAGCCCCCAGTCTGCTGTCCCGGCAGGTCCTCAGGAGGGGCAGCAGCAGAAAGATGTTTGTAAGAGGGAAAGGGGATGGCGGGGGTCAGAGGGAGAGGCCATGGCTGTGGAGCGGAGAATGATGCCAGGCCAGCCTCTCGCTGCTCAGAGAGAGGGGGTCCCCATCACGGCTCCTGGCAGAGGTCAAGGGCAGGGGGCCCACCCTGCCTCAGTGGCCCAAGCCCAACTTGCTGTGCTGCTGAGTTCTGCATTCCTTCCAGCCACCTTACATGCTGCCGTCACATGACCAGAAACCATGGGAGGGTGGGCTTGAGGGTGCTGGATGGGGGCTGGAAATGGTTTGGGGAGTGGCAGAGAAGGCCAGGAGACCTGAGCTTCCAACTGGTTGTGGTTTGAAACCCTGTTGAGAATTTACATTTCTAACAGGTTCCCGGGAAGTTATATATAAGAATCACCTGGAGATCTTGTTAAGCTGTAGATTCTAACTCAGTATATCTAGGGTGGAAATGCAAAGTCTCAGCAGGGAACTTGTTAGAAATGCAAATTATCAGCAGGAGTTCAAACCAGACTGAACTGGTTAAAAGCCGTACAGGAGACGGACAGAATGAGGGCAGAGAAAATGTGCTCCTCTCCTCCCCCTGCTGAGCAGCCTCTGCTTCCTGGGAGCCCTGGGGACTTTGGCCAGCTGAAAGCCTTGGCTCTGCTTGGAGGACAGGACCTTCCTGGTCTGACCCTCTAGGGGGTGCCGGTGGAGGGATGAGGATCACTGCATTAGGAGGCCCATGCCTACTTCCTGCCTACTCCCTACTCCCTAACTTACTTCCCAGGAGGTTTGTACCCTGCTGGGTCAAAGAAACAAAGAAACCAGTTCCCACCTGGGTGATGACAGATGCCTCCTCCCTACCCCTAGTGGGAATAATGCTCTTCCTCCTGGCGGCCCTGGCCTAGGACACGGGTAGAGCTCCCTTCCCCCTCACTGATCCTGTCTCCTCCTGCCCCACAGGTACTTGGGCCTGCAGGTAGGCTACAAGGCACTGGGCATGCTGCTGCTCTTCTTCACCAGCTGGAGAGTGAAGAAAAGCAAGGAGTACAATGTGCAGGAGAAGGCTGTGGGCCTCATCTGACCCTGGGCCTCAGGCTGCTGCCCTGCCCCGAGAGTGGATCCTGCCTCCCCCACATCTGCCTGTATTTACTAATGTTAACAAGTCATTTCCTTTTTGTTTTTTTTAAATAAGAAAGAAAACCCCAGCCATTATTTTCCTTCCCTGCCACCTCCTCCTCCCTAAGCCCCCTCTCCAAGGCTCCCTTCCTGAGGGCTGCCTGTACCGGCGGAGGGGGGATGGGGAGAGCGTAGAGCTGGAGGGCTGGGTCTTCCCTGGATCCTTGGGAGCGGCCCCCCACATGCCCAGGCTGTCCTCAATGCTGGCTCCTCCGACTTGGATGCCCATTGAGGTTGCTCTTGCCCTTCCCCAGCCCCTAAGTGGATAGAGGAAAGGGTATATCTGCCCTTCTTGCCCTCTGGCCACCCAACTGCTATGGAGAGGCAGAGGTGCAAGGAAGAAGGGAGTGGACTGAGTTATTAGTGGCCCAGAGCCAGGCCAGGGGAAGAGGCACCGGCGCCTGGCTGCAGCCTTTTTTAAGGCTGGACTCAACATCGGCCTGGAACCCAGGCAAAGCTAGCTCCTTTCCTCCCTCAGACCCTTGCTTCCTGCCCCTACAGGCCATTTTGGAAGCTGCCATGTTGAAAGTACTGCCAGCTAGTTCCCTCTCAGTTACCCACACTCAGGCACCAGAGCAGGGACTAGGAAACCCCAAGGATGGGTCATCCAAATGCTGTTCACGTTAGCCCTAGCCCCTTCTGTACTTGGATTTGCATATGTTTTTGTCTGTGTTTCTGTGAGTGTATTTCAAACTGAGGAAGCCACACCATGATGAAGACCTGAGGAGGGGCTGTGGTATGGTGGTGGTGCTCAAACTCCCACCCTCCTGGAGTAGAGAAAAGACCCCTCATCTCAGAGTAATGAGAAGACTCTCCCCAAGTTTCTCTGGAGCACATGAGGTTTCACATGGTCTTTCCTGTCTGGACTTCAGCCTGTCTGCCAAGAAGGAGTAAAGAGAGGCAGTAGGAAATGTCAGCAAAGTAACTGATGAATGCTAACTGCCACCAAGCCAGATAGCAAGCTGTGGCCCAAACTGGAGACAGGCAAGGTTGACTTTCTTGGTTTCAGACATGCTTGTGTTCATCAACATTTTCTCAGCCTCTTCTCACTTCCTCCAGAGAAGTGGGTGCTCTCTGTGGGCATGGCATGGGTTAAGATACCCTGCTGCTATGTGGTAGACACTCAGAGTTAGAAACCAATGCAACAGGCTTTTTATTAACAAATACTATATTTACTGGAGACCGACTTTATGCAAGCCAGTGCATGGACATCTCCCTAGGATGTGGTTCCCCACAGATCTTACCTCACCTCCCTTCTGCTACCCTAGAACCTCCTCCCAGAGTGTGCTTGGTGGGCAGTGTTGGGGGTGAGGAACAGCAAGAACCCAAAGACTGTCAACAAGGATCCTAACCATCCATGGCTCCACCAGACTGATCTTGCACCTGACCCTTTGCTGGACAGAGACCTGATGCACCATGTCCTCTGGAGCAGTGGTCATCAGTCCATTGCCATATAAGGACCTCGAGTGCCACTCCTCTGGGAAGAGCATTCCAGAAGCATGCTGTCCTTGTGCCACCTCCAAGAAGGCCTCATATGGTGATAAGCCAAAAAATTTATGCCAGTGACCAAGCTGCTGTGAGACTGAAGTCTTCATGGAAACCACTGTTACAGACAGCCTTACTTCCAAAGCCACCAGCCTTATTTCCAAAGATCTCACTCAGGAAGGGAGGCTCTCTGCAACCTCAGGGGCCAGTTTCAGCACTTACAATGGTTCTGCTTGGAAAATCATTCCCTGCAACTAACCCTGGCTCTTCTTGCAGTGATTTAACCCATTTCTGGAGGCTTTGCCTTCAACTGAGTTCACGAACAGTGAATGCCAACTTTCAGATTCTGGAAGATTGGTTTCCTTCTTAAAACTTTACCCTACCATGACTATTGCTATTAATATATTATAGTTTTACTACTGATGTAACTTGGTCGTGAATTTATGCTGACATGTACATCTGTCAGACGGCAGACAGAACCCAACCTTCAGGACAGAGGGGCATATGAAGATTAGCAGGAATGCAACTCTCAACCATCAGGCTGGTACTGAGCAGGCAGCAGGCACTTCTTGTTCCTTCAGTTAAGTTCTGCAGGTCGCTGTCAAAGGCCCATAGTGTGGGCTCTAGCGAGACCTAATCTCAGCCCTTGAGTTTATAATCCAGAGTGGGGTTGGACACAAACAGTTAAATCCATATACAAAACAATAGTTTCATCATCTAATTGATCACTTGATCACAGCCAATGATACTACTCCCCCAGCAAATCTTTCTTCTCCAGCTCCAGCTGGAAATATAATAGCATGTGCCATTTTATGTTCTAGAGCAAAGATGAACAAGCATCCTTCAGGGTAAAACTCTCGGAGAAGCAGTTGTTATAATGCAGATTTCCAACACCCTCCACCCAGCCCCAGAGTCCATTTCTGTAGGTCTGAAGGGGACCCAGGAATCTCACTTTTAACAACCCGGTCTGTGAGCCTAACGTGGGTGGTCCTCAAATCTTGCATGATGGGTCCTCAGTGCAGCAGAGCCTTGGGGGCACCAACTTGGGTTCACACTACTGAGATATTTACAAACTCAACAGACCTTTGGTAAATTCAAGTGTAAGTCAAGGATGACAAGGTAAAGGGGTGCCTGCAAATCTGATTTCCTGGAAGGCTCCAGTCAGGGAGAGTAGACACGAAAAATAATCCAGGAGCTCACATTTATACTAGGCACCTACGAGTACTGAGAGGAGAACTTGCAACTCCACAAGCTTATGTGTGCAAAACAGGCCACAGTAATTTCTTTAAATCAATTAAATCTGACTTCAAGTCCCCATCCTGCTGACTGGTTGGAAATTCAACGTCAGTCATGCTTGGGTATGGTTCCCAGAGCACCCACAGGTCCTTGGGCGCTATGCATTCAAGGAGACCACTCTGGGTCTTTGGTACCTTCCCAGTTTAAGGCCCTCTAGTGGTCCTGCTTCTCCCTGAACTTGGAAACCCTGCAGAGACCAGATCCCAGGGCTAGGACCACCTCCCTGTGCATACTCGCAGCTACGTCCTCCTCCCTTGTCCAGTCCTAGGAAGCCCACCCATCTACGCCACTCCCTTCTCCAGCACAATACAGCCCCTCAAGCCAGGAAAGGAAGGGTCTGCAGGAACTTTTTTTTACTTCATCCTTCCTTGAACCTTCTTGGAACAGAAAAGGGAAAATGCTGTGACGACCAAACACCAATTAATACCTCTATAAACTGTCCTTTGGCCCAAAGCTCCCTGGGGTGATCGTCACCATAGCCTCGTGACAGAGGCCAGACTGCTCTTCAGGCTCCATTTGAAAATGAGGAAACTGAGATCAAGGAATGACTATCGTGACCAACTTTACGTAAATAATAACTGACCAAGCCTGGACTTAAACCAGGTGGTCCGTCTCTCTGTTTGGTCCTGCACCATCTCACCTACTGAGTCATTCCAAAATGGTAGGGAGGCACCCTCTTTTCTCACAGAATTTCACTAACCCATGGAAGGGAAGTGGAAGAATCTATTGAGGACCTCGTAAGGTGGGTAATAGGACGTGAGGAGAACTAGATATGACCTCATTTATGCACCTCAAATTGAAGTAGCAAGAACATTATGACTATTCATTAAATAGAGCTGATTTAGCCCTGTAGCGCCATGAGTTAAAGGAGAGTCATGGAGGAGAGAGACACATTTGAACAAAGAGAAAAAGGCTTTCACAAGAAAAGGCCCTGAGAAATCTGCACACAGACAGACCTTCAGGGGAACACCCCCATCTGGTGACTGAATAGCAGATTCTTGCTTAAGACACAAAGCCATATTGTGTTTTTCCTAACTATTCTCAAAGATAGAGAGATAAAATTAAGCTGGGGGCTGAATCTGATCAGTATCAAATTTGATATTAAAATATTTTAGGTTCCCAGAGAGATTGGCAATGCTGTGTGTGTGTGTGAGAGAGAGCGAGAGAAACCCTGCAAATCCAGGAGACAAATCCTATCTTTCACAACCACAGGAACTAAATACCTGGGAGAAATGTCTCACTCCTGCCAAAAGCACTGGATTCATTATAATCTTTCATCAGAGATTAAATATGTAAGCGGGTCCTGGGCAAGCCCTTGGCAAATCATAACCAAGAGGAAGTTTTTCTCCTATGACACACCCTGTGCATTCATCCACTCTCCACCCCCATTCCCACCCCTCTGGTGCTACCACCCTACCCTGGGTTCACCCCACCTTGCTGAAGCCCCTGTGCCCCCCCAGCTGCTACACCTTGATGACAATAACTAAAATGTGCATAGATCTTTACAGTTTACAAAGCCATCCATCATTTAACAAATACCATTGGGATAAATCAGGCTTGGCTATGCTGTTGTAAAACATCACCAAATCTCAGTGACATGGCACTACGAAAGCTTATATCTTGTCACATAAAGTTCACTGCAGGTCTGGCAGACTCTCCAAGGCAGTGGCCTCCAAATGGTGCTCAGCACTCCAGGCTGCTTGTATCCTCATTTCAGGACATGATGCCACAGCCGATGAGGCAGAGGAAAAGTCCTTGAAGGCCTTCCACCTGTAATTAAATGCTTTGGCCCCAAAGTAACGCACATTCTGCTCACAGCCCATTGGCCAGAACTAGTTGCATGGCCCTGCCTCACTGCCATGCCAGTAGGGACCTTTGTGCTCAGAAAGATTAAAAGCAGATATGGATGAACTCTGGGATAGCTCACCAGGATGCTTAAGCCAGCTTTGTCAGCTTTGTTGGGTGAGGGTAGGAGGAAAGTGAGAGTCAGGAAAAGTTTCCCAAAAGAGAAAATATCAATTCTGGGTCCAAAAGGCAAAGAGATGATTTCCAGGTAAAGCTGAGGCAGCAGCCAGTTTGCAGAGTGATGGGGAGGTGGGAAAGAAGATTGACTCTGAGGGTGCA